ATGACTCAAGCAGCTCACGACTTTCAGTCTTTGACCAAGTATCCTCTGGGTAGCCTAAGAACATCCGTTTGAAAGCGACTTAAAGTGAGAAGGCGAAATATCCCCTACATAGGGTTGTGCGCTGGGTTTGGGACCCGCCACGCAAAAAAAACACTACCAATGAAAAAAAAATGCATTCCCTCATTACCTAAAAACTGTATCTAAGAAGGAAGTATGAAATTTTAAATCAGTCAACCCAGCAGTATTCTTTTTTTTTTTTTTTTTGTTTTGTGTTTTGAATTCCCTGGACACCGAATCCGATCTCGTAGAGCATCTTCTCAAAAGAATCCTATTATATTTAAGGTAGTAGTCTGGTAACTTGGGTTCAAAAAATCGAAAAATTTTTTTGCTTAATTTGAAAGTAAAATATCTTGAGAATATACTGTAAAAACTTCAGGCATAAACTCGAAATATTTCGGGAGTTGTAATGAGTTTCTTAGAGCGCGTCTCTCTCTCGGAGTTGTTGAACTTTAAATGCGTTTTTCTCAAAACATAGTTTTTTTGGTCGGCCGGGGTCCTAACTTTTTTTCTACTGTACCGATTGCTTTCAAATTTTAACAGGCTATTCCACACACTTATAGTTCTCGTCGAAATTAACGAGAATTTTTTTCCCCCTAACTTTTTATTTTACAACCTTTTCTTTGCTAAAATAAAAGGACTATTTTTTCAGAGTCCGCCATTTTGTTCTTTACTCTTGAAATTTAACTTCAGTAGTTTCGACCAGAATGGCATGTCTATAGATTAAGAATAAGCATGAATATTTGATTTCAGATAACATCAAGAGCAAAAATGACGTGCATTTTTTTGAGGTTCCAACTTCGACTAATAGTAATAAAGTATTGAATTTTTTCAAATAAATTTTTTTTTTTTCAATATGTGTTTTTATTTACATATTGACATACTCTAAATATTCAAGATAATTCAATTTAAATTTTTCTATAAAAAACCACCCTACAAAGAAGTCATGAAAAAAGGCGACTACTACCACTAATCCACTAAGGGATCAAGACATTATTTCACTAACTTTGACTAAGCCAGTTTGGACTCATCCGTACGGATGCTTAACACTGCGCCCTTGTCCACTTCGCCCATTTCCCACTATTTCGTTGTTCTCTGGAAGGAAAGGTGACAAAGCGTAAATTAAAGTAAAAGTTATACAAAGCAGATCTAGATAATTGTAGATGTCGTATGAATGCAGCAGTCTAGGTTAAGTTTTTTGTTCTGCCATCATGGTTAAAAGAAGAAGCATAGTAAACCCTTTTTATGCACTCTAAAATTAGGGCACTTATAAAGCTTTGTTATTAATTTACTATGTCAACCAAAAATGCTTCCAGCTGTCTACTAATGACCTGAAGTCAATTACATCATTGACAAATTCAATGAAAATTAATTATAAATTCACTATAGCTTTGCCATAATTTCTCATCAATATCCTACCCGTTATACTATCACTTACCTACTACTATTACTACCAGTTATCTATCAGAAATACTACTATTTACGTACCCAAATTTCATTTAACAATATTAAAAATCATAAATACGCACGATTTCACTACTTTTAAAACCGTCACTCCACCACATCAAAGAAATAAATCAGCTACAACTTTCTTTAAACACTTCAAAATGAATTGTTTCAAATCAATTGTTTCGCATTTCGTGACAAGGTCATTCATATTTGCATATTTACCTTTCTCTTTTGACTTTTCGGTTGTTTGTTATTTTCATTGGTGTGTTTGTTTTTGTAATTTTTGTTTGTTCGTGCTTGCATTCAACTTGTTCGCTAAATTCGTTTATAGCTTTATTACTTAATTACGGATTTCACACTTTTGACAAGCGTAAAATTAGTAAAACAAACTACAACAATAACAACAACTTCTGTCAACAAGTTATTTTAGCTAGATACGTGCATGTTTAAACCTGCATAGTTGCCACTTTAAATAAAGACACCGATTAAGATCTTTTTATGACCGGAGTCATTTAAGCTATGAAAAGGCAGTCAGTCAATTTACTCCCTCATGAACTGTGTGATATAAGTTATTTCATAAGGCTCTTAATAACTAGACGTCGGCAGAGTGACTTGATGTGCACTTTTTGCAGTTGATTGTCTTCTTATCTAGTCACGTATATTTACAGTCTGATATCTTAAGAAAGTGTGCCTGATTGGCACGATGATGAGGCATAATCATTAATAAGGTTTAAACTCTATTACGAAGGAAGAGTTTAAGGTATTATCGTTTGGAATCTATAATCGTAGCATTCAAAGAGGTTTTCGTTCTGACCAAGTTTGGCACAGAATTTGCCACCTTTTTATGCCTATTTCATAAATTTAAACTACAATGGGCAGAAAAGTGTTCCAGCAAAATCTAGTTTTAGTAGGTTTTGGAGCAGAGTTGTCACCTTTCTTTAGTTATATCATAGTTTGGAACCCAAAACGATACAAAAATGTTCGGAACCTTTCATTTTAATATATTTTAAGAAGAGTTCTCACCTATCTGTAGTTACATTACAATTTGGAACACAAACCGATCGAAACTATTGGAAAAGGCTTCATTTAATTATATTATACAAATGTATAAAATTAAAAATAAAAAATGTGGAAAACAAAATCCTCAATTATGACATATTTCGAGTAAAGTTTCCAACTTTAAAATTTTCAAGACAACACCAAAGAGTTTCACAAATTTTTTAAATTTTATGATTATTCTCATTAATATCTTTGAACCACCTTCTAGTAGCAAATTCCTTTCGGTAAATATTTTCGAAAATATTGAATACTGCTTGTAGAGCTGCCATCTATATAACAAACACATCGTGAAATAAATTTTTTGAAATTTTTCTCATTCTACTTTTGAGCTCTGTTTAGAACCATTTACTTTACCTTACTTTCTTCACCACATACTATACTTTCTTTAAATATTCAGAAATTCTTAAATGAAATTTACTTTCCTATAGAGTGGCCAACTACTTAAAAACCTACAGCTTTGAAATATATTATAAATTATCATTGTTAGTTAACACGACATTAAAGAAAATCAGGAGAAAACAGTTTTTAACTTAGTTAAACTTTAGAATAAAGTTGCCAAATGTTAGAAAATAGTGGAGTTAAGATAAATATTATAAATGCCGAACTTATGGCGTTAAAAAGTGCAGATACGAATTATTACGGTAGTATTTTGTTTAACATTTTATGAACACAACATTGCCACCTCTCTAAAAAGCTGAAATTGAGAAAAGTATTGCAAAATTTTTAACTGTAATGGAAACTAGCTCCTTAGTTTTTGAGATAACGATCTCTCTTTTTTCTTTCTTCTCTCCTCACAAAGTGGTCAATTTTTCGGAGCCAGCGATACTGGACTAGTATATAGTCTGTCATACAAACTAAACGATCGGAATCAAGTGTTTTTTCTTCACGAATTTTCTCATAAATTATTGCTTAAGGCGTTACATGGATTTCCTCGGAGAAAAACTATCCTTTCAACAATTTTTTCCCCATATAAAAAATTAAATATTTAATAAAAAAAAACAAACGAAATTCCGAAATGCCATTGCGACACCATTTCCGTTGACCGCTTGGAAAAACATGCGCCCGTGTTGGCAGGACTACTACTTACAGGATCATCTAAAGTGAAAAATTCGAGTTTTAATTCCAGCATTAATCTAGAACTTGGACGAAGGAAGAAAACTGAAAATTGGATTTTTAGCAGACATTTTTACAAAACAAAAAAAATTTCAGTGAAAATTTCGCCACATTTTGTTTTTTCAAGAAATTACTTCGTCCAAATCTTTAAAAATTGTATCTTAAAGACCTGTACAAAATGGTATGGAGATTGGTTGAATAGTTCTCGTGAAATCTTGCCAAACGACTTCAAAACATACCGTTTCGATAAAAACGCGTTTAAAGACTTACACTTACCCTAGACAGCCTCGAGCGCACAAATTCTCAGGGCTGTAACTCCTGAAACTTATACTCGGACCAACTTGAAATATTCTAGAGATTTTGTAGAATTTAATAACACAATAAAAAAAATCATTTTTTGAAAGCCGCAAACCCATCTAACACTTTAAAGTAAGGCTACAATCATATATTATATATTGTTGAGATCGGATCACTTCAGCACATAGGTATTTAGCTGTCACACAAACTGATCGATCAAAATGGAGTTCTTGTATGAGAAAACTTTTTTGGTTGACAAGATATCTTTACAAATTTTGGTGTAGATTATTTTTCAAGACATCAGTACAATTACCAAATATATTGTTCAGGTCGGACCACTATAGCTTATAGCTGTCATACAAATTTACCGATCATCATCAAGATAGATATATTTATACCTTTTTATGTCATAATAAATGCACCTGTTAAGGGTGCTGTTAGTTGGGCGTAGTCGAAGGTAATATTTTTTTCTTGTTTTTTTTTTGGGGTTTTTTTCTAATTTCGTGTTATTAATGCATTTTATAACTATGCAATGTTGACAACGACGCTTATTGCTGATATAAACATCAGACGGGAGACAATTTATTATTGAAGCTGAATGTATTAAATTAAAAAAAAATGTTTGTTCTCTAAAAATAGTATTTTGTTTTGATATTTTAATTAATGGCTTGATTTAGTGGAAAAATATTTTCAAGTCTACAGTTTTGAACATTTTTATATGTACATTTATTCAATATTTAAGTACATAATTACAGTTAATGGTGGTTATAAATTAATAAAAAAATATTAATAAAAATAAGTCTTATGTGACTTAAAATGATGAAAAATATATGATAAAATGAATATGTGATATAAATTTATAAAAAAAATATTTATTAAATAAATAAATAGGTTATAAATTAATAAAGAAATATTAATAAAATTCACATAACACATATATAAACGAGTATACATAGCTACATAAATATTTACATATCACCCACAAAAAAATATTTATTAACAATTTTTTAATTTCTTTATTGCAGAAAAGCTATTAAGGCACCCTGTCGGTAATTGCTCATTTTACAAGACTTCGCTAATTAAATTATTGAGCGAAAAAAGTGTACGTAACTCACACCGGCACACACACGCCCATATATATATACACAGTCACTCACTAACACGCTGGATGCGCTCGCCAAAAATCGGAGATGCAAAAATGTGTGCCAGTGTCATAAATCAAATTAACACCGACTGCGTTAGCAGTAGCCACAACAACAACAAAAGCCAAACAATCATCAACACAACCGATTGTGACGTCATGTCACACACCAACAATCGCCGTCAACGCTGTGAGTTCACTGCCACAACACGCGTCGCTGCGCGCAAGTCCACGATGACGCTGCCATCGACATCGCTGCCGCTGCTGCTACTCGGCACTACATTGTTGTTGTTGTGCGCATTGAAACCGGCCAATGCAGCCGCCACGGCAACTGCTGGGCCAACCAACAAGAGTGCACGCGAAATAATCAGCAACAGCGGTGTGGAAGAAAAATCACCGAATCCAAAAGCGACTGTAATAGCAGCAACAACAACACATAGAGGTGAGTAGTTAGCGGGTTTGTTTACATTTTTTCATTTTGGGATTCCGACTTTATTCATGCGGTATATTTATACATGCTATTTCGCGTTCTCTACGTGAGCATAAACGCTGAGCCGATCGTCTGACCGCTTTTCCTCCCCCCTCTCACGGTGTCAAGCCAGCAGGGTTTTATAGGCCAATCTGGCTTATAAATTGACATCATTAACTTACAGATTTTTAGCTAAAAATAAAAGCGAAAAAATATGTTTAATTTTGTATTTACATACATTCATATATAATAATTTATACATATGTGCATATGTGCATATATGTATAAATATGCGTGCCTTTGTGATGATTGTTTTGGTTTTACCAAATAACCTTGTATCAGAGATGCTTGCTGACTATTGGGACTGTTGTTCTTTGTGGGTATTTTCCAAATGATCATGTGCTTTAGAACAATATACGTGAATAGCTTGATATTCATATACATATACATACATATATATTTATGTGTCTGCACTGGTATTCACGCAAACAAAGCTTAAGGTTATAAGATGAGTTCCAAAAATAAATCCATTAATGAAGCTTTTATTCTTTGGTGTTAATAATAGTAATTGGCGCTTGCAGGGGAGTTACCATAACTACATACATTTATTACTACATACGTACACATATACACATACATACGAGAAAATACAATTTGTATGAAAAAATAATATTAATGGTAGTTATTGTAGCATTGAAGGCTCCATAAATCAATTAGTATTATAAAACTAGTTGTTAAGTGTCAAATATACATGTTTATTCATAGTTATTGATGATTTATGCAGCTACAAAGTTAATGAAATAATTAATCTAATCTAATCTACAAAAAAATTTTATTCTTTTTATACTCTCGCAACAAAGTTGCTAAAAAGAGTATTATAGTTTTGTTCACATAACGTTTGTTTGTAAGTCCTAAAACTAAAAGAGTCAGATATAGGGTTATATATACCAAAG